CCTGTAGAAACCAATGCAAAACCCCGACCCCAACGTAACACATGTCCTGTTTTCCATTCAGAGGTAAGTACATCGTTGAAGTATACCGACTTTCAGCAGTTTTTTCTGTAGTCCAGTGTCTTTCTGCACCTATTTGTCCTTTCTCATTAGCATTAAGAAAGTTTATTGTTAATAAAGCAATATGCAACTATGTTTGGGGCATTTAGTCTTCCAAGCTTGTTTGTTGAGCATCTCCTTTAGTGTTCTATTAGATCCCTTAACCACTGCTAGTCCTTTAGGATTGTTTGGTATACCAGTAACATGCTTTATGTTATAATATTTGAAATTTTTCAAACAAACAAACAAACAAACAAACAAACAACAACAACAAAACCCCACTGTTTTACTTGATCAAAGAGAAGTCACGAACCATTATTAAAGACAAACCGTAAGATCGGATATGAATAAATTGAAAAGGAGAGGTGAGGAGCTGGGCAAAGCCAGACAACTGAAAGGGTGTGTATGTATGGGGAGTGGCAGGAGCCCTTGGTCCTAGTTCTGGGCCTTGAATAGCCCAGGTAAGCACTGGATGCCATGAGGAAATGCAGGGAAGTCTTTCTGATGCTGAGTAAGACATGGGGTCTGAAAGGCAGCAGGCTCCAAAGCAAGTCACGCCTCATCTAATGTTAGGGCTTAGGTTTTGTTTACTCTGAATTGCAGCCACTGAGGGCTCTGGCGGATGTTTTTAAAGCATCACTTGGCTGCAGTGCCCCACAGGACAGGGCAAATGTGAAGTCAGAAAATGAGGAGGCTATGCAAAACAGCTGTGACAGGAGAGCTGCTCCACTGGACAGGTAACTACCCATCCACTTCTGGACAAATTCTGAAGCCAGAACAGACGTGCTTCCTGGATGACTGGACTGGAGCGTGAGAAAAGGTGCCAGTGACAGCCAAAATCTAGAGTGGCCCTCAATGGAGACAGGGCAGAGTGTGGGTGGGAAAGGCTGGAGGAGACGATAATTAATTCTACTTAGCATGTTAAGTCTAGTTCAAATCTCAGATCTATTACTAACCAGTTCTGTGACCTTGGGCAAGTTACTTAAACTCTTTGAACCTTAATGTTCTCACCATAAACTGGGATAATGATACCTCATGCTTAGGTTCATGTACAAATTTCAGTATGTATAATGTGCTATGCTCCCAAGCAAAGTACACCGTCGGTGCTCTATAAATGATAACCTCCACTGCCTTTCCCCTCACCGGAACCACCAAGATGTGAAACAGAGCTAGGTCCACATTCACTAACCGTGATGAGGTGCCTTGACCCCTACAGCATCCCATTAGTGCTAAAAAGCCCCATGTTGAGAGGACCAAGGTCTGCATGCCATGGCTTTCAGATCAGCACTAGAGAGGGATATGAAATCATTAGCCACACACTGTACATGTCACTTTCATGTGTGGCCACTAGACTCCTTCCCTTGGGGATTACAGACATGTTGTTAAGATGAGCAGAAGTTATTAAATCAACATCCTGTCCCAAACCAGCATGGAAGTAGGGATTATCATCTCCTGAGTTGCCAAGTCTGGGCAGCGTCTAAACCTCCTCTTGCCAAGTTGAAAGAGAATGAGGACAGAAACACAAACACTGTAAATATGGGTAGCCCTGTGTGGCGTGTAGGAGGTGGTGCTGACTGGGGGATCCAAGAGACACACTTACAGAATGTCTCCCTCCTTCCTGCCTCTCGGGCTACCAGCTCAGATGCAGGGCTAGCTGGAGGGAGAGACAGACTGAGGGCTGAGGGCCAATGCCAACCACAAAGGGTGGACTGATCCCCTAAGCCCCCTCATGTACTGGAGACCTCCCTTTTCTGTCCACCAATGTCCTTATGTGCAAAATGAACCCCTTCCTACCTACCCCAGGGGATTCAAAAATGGGGATACCTGGCCATTCTGCCTTACATTAAATCAAAGAAGACTCATTGACTCTTTAAATTTTTTCTTTTTGGAATCCTTCCCCCGCCCCCAACACAATATTTTTATTAATTATTTGGAAGTTTTATACAATGAACCTCAATATGGGCAACATAATTTTTTAAAAATCAATCTCTCAATCTCTGGCCCTGCCCCTCCCATCTGTAATAATAACAAACATAACACTTCTGAAGAGTCAGAATATGAACGTGGAGCAGAGACGAGTTTGCAGGCCCTGTATCTAATGAGCAGTCACCTATCGGTTGCGCTCTATTTTCCTCTTGGCAGGCTTCACCTCTTTGGAAACTGCTGTCCCCGCCCTCCCAGGACTTTGCACTGCAGACATCTCAATCACTGTGCATTGCCTAATTTCTCATCCCCACCTCCTCTGAGTGGATGAGTCACTTCCTCCTTCTGAATTGAAATCCTAAGGTTATTTATATTGTGGAGTAGGGGAATTGATTCCTGGGAGAAAACACACTAGAGAAGAGGGAAATTGGAGTCCAGATAGGAAGTGATTTGGGGATGAGTAAGACTCAGAGAGGTTGGGCTAGGAAATGTTTGTAAAAGAAAAACAGCATGTGAGGGTCAGCGTGGCTGTACACCAGAAGCAAAAAAGGACAGGAAACAAAACAAATAGCAAGTTGAAAGTGAAAAGCAATCTTCAGTGGCAGCCGACTGAGCCACTCACAGAAGACAGGAAGGGCAAGCCAGGCCCCCTAGAACATTTCCCAGTGTGCACCAGGCTATCCCGACTTAGTGTCCATGAGAACACTGACTCAGCTCATCTCCCACCTTACGCTCAGGCTCAGCAACTTCGTCTTTAATTATCCAAGATCTGTATCATTAGTGTAAAACCTACCTGTAAAGGTCTCAGTACACGGGTTTATGCCAGCAAGCCTCTTTGATGTCCCGAAGTCAGAGATCTTGAGAACACCACTGTAGGTATTAATCAATACATTGTCACCCTAGGGAAAGAATGCTCCAATCAAAATGTCATCTATTACAGATACTGTTTGTGGTTGACTTAAACCTAATTAAAAAAAAATGCCCTCAGAACAAATAATGACATTCATACTGCATTCTTCATTAGTAGTTTATCTCAATAGAGAATTCTTTTCAATACAGAATTTTTGATGTAATTTTTTATTTATATGTTAGCAATTGTTTAAAATCATCTGTTCAGGTCACAAGGTCAAGCATGGCCCCGAGGGAAAGTTCACCAGGTTACCTGTGTACAGTATCTATAGAAATGACAACTTTCTTAACATCCCAGGAACTTTTGGAATACTTGGGATGCCTGCCTGAGTTGGCTTTAGGGTTGTAAGTCACTAAGCAAGCAGGCTTCTAAGGAGGGAAGTAAGCAACAGTTCTACCCAGCTATGATGCCTCTAAACCACAACAATGACAATCACAGCACAATATTCTTAAGTATGCATAGTAGCCTGCATATTTATTGGCAACCAACAGTTCTCTAATTAGACTTAAGGCCAACTCAACAAGAGGGAAATCATGCCTGGTATTGGAAACCTAGCAAAGTGCAAAGAGCCAGTGAAGTCATGGATCCTGGAGAAAAACTTAAAACTACCACTTTAGTAAACCATCATAATTCATAGTTCCATTTTATAAATTTATCCTTACGCCCCCGGAAAAGTGGAGTTTTCACTTTTCATCAAAGAAATGTCTCATTGCAATAGACAGAGACCATTTTAGAAAACTACAACTGATCAAAATGCTGAGAACAATAACAGTGTGGCACCTAGGCCCAATGACACGTCTACAACACAACTCCTTCTCAAAGACTCAAGCCTCATAGCAGAAGAGGTGGGGGGCAGAAAGATTGGCAAAGCCAGAGGAACAGAAGTTTGCTGTGAGATTTCCTCTCCTAAGAATATCAGAAGTCTGGGAAGTCTCATCAACTTGGCTACCTAAACAAGATCTGTGTAAGTATGACACCAACAGACACACTAACACAGAAGGGGGAATCTCATGGGGTGTCAACTCTAGACAAAGGACTACAGGCAACTAACGAATGCTGATGGCAGGGGAAATAGTCTTCCCCAGGAAGAGCCCCCAAGTTGGTTGTCCAAGACCAAGTGGTCAACGCTGAAATCAAGTAACATTATATGCCCTGAACAGTTTGTATTTATATATTTAGGAATGTATATCTCAACAATTAAAGAAACAGAAGCCATGAACTTGAGAGAGAAGGAGGGTACATGGGAAGGATTGGAGACAGAGAAGGGAAAAGAGAAAATGATGTAATTATATTTTAATTTCAAAGAACCAAGTTTTTCAGTTTTGAATTTTCTTTTTCAAGAGAAGCTAAAGTTTTTTATTTTAGAGATTTCTATAAGGAGTAATAGGCCTAGCAGCTCCTCAGGAAGAGGCCATGTCCTGCTTAGCTTGTGAGTACTTCACTCCATCCCATAGTGCTCTTAGATGACACCGCCAAGTAACAGAAAGGTCTCCTGGCTTCACTGGGTAAGAAGGCCATTCTTTATGGAAGACTATGGCATACATAAACATAATCACAGTGTGGAGCAGAACCGACATCTCTGCTACTGCCAAGATTTTCTTAGTCCCCATTCATAATTAACACTCAGAACACAACCTAGTATTTTTCAAATAAAATAACCACCCAGGAAGGACCCCAGGAGGATGAATCACTGTGCACCCTACCTTTATATCCCGGTGAACTATCTGATTGTCATGAAGGTATTTTAATCCTTCCAATATTTGCTTTGTATAGAAGCCAATTGTTTGCTCATTGTCTTTTAATGGGCCCCATTTAGAACGAAGGAGAGCAGAAAGACTTCCTGTAAAATAAGAGAAACTGTGGGTAAAACTCATCCAAGTGAGCTCTTTATAGCATATTAATAATGTGACCCAAAGTTAATCCAGCCTGCATTGGCTCTTCACAGTAGGTCAGAAACGACTCTAGTTACCTGGGCTCAAACATGAGTATGAAAATATCCCAATTCTGAAGGCAGTCATTATCAACACAGTCTAAGTAAAAGGATGTTTAGCTGCTAGCTTTAATCCAAGTCATGATGACTCAATCTAAAATGGTTTCAAAATGTCTTTACTATCTGCTAAATGAGCATAAACATAATATCATCCACAGACTTTGAAGACCCCCCCTATGGAAGGCCTCACCCTCCCTGGGTAGCAGAAAGGGTATGGCATAGGTAGGGTGTTAGTTGGGGAGAAGACAGGGGAGGAGGGGAGGGAGAGGGACCTGGGATTGACATGTAAAATAATTTTCTTTCTAATGAAAATTAAAAAAGATAATGTCATCCATGTAACCTTTCTTTCAACATGAATAATTCCATTCAGTTTCGCTCCTCTTCCAAGCCTTAAAAATTTGGATTTCTGAAAGTTAGAAAAGTGTATCTTACCTCCAGGGACTTGCTCCATGAAGATTTTAATGAAGCCATTCTCACTGAAGGAGCCCAGATACTGGACAATATTTTTGTGCTTCAGATGCTTGTGCAAAGCAATTTCTTCATGCAGGGGCTGAGAGTATCTGGAAGATGTGTAAATGTCAATATGCCAAGCATCCTGCCAGACTTTAGAGTATTAATTTAAGTAATGCACATTGAAAATGGCAGCTAAATTATGCCCATAAATAAAATCATTGACCATCTAAGCCTTCAATCATCTAACACTTTTATTTCTCATAAATTCTGTGACAATGCAGCTGTGGCAGGACAAAGAAAAAAGTGTTAGATACTGTTCACAGCTCCTTGTATATATTAACTCATTTCTCTTAGTTAAATGTTCTACCAGGGATGCCCATTTTACAGACAAGGGAAGTAACTCATAGAGAGGACAACTACCCAAGACCATAAAGGTCGTGGCAGACTTAAGACTTGAGTCCAGGAGATTGGATACCATCTACAAAGCTACTGTCCATATGAGCATGGAATCCTGTTACACTGTCTTCACCAACATAAATGTTATCCAGGAGGCTCTTGTCCAGGGAAGCAAAAATTCCCAAATATTTTGTTTGGTTTTTTGAGACAGGGTTTCTTTGTATTGTTTTGGAGCCTGTCCTGGAATTCACTCTGTAGCCCAGGTGGGTCTCAAATTCACAGAGATCCGACTGCCTCTGCCTCCCTAGTGCTGGGATTAAAGGCATGTACCACCAACGCCAGGTCCCAATATCTTTAATGTTTATGCACAACTTCCCAAAGTCCTATAAACTCTTTAGTAGAAACCACAAAACCATTCATAGTCTAGTCTCTTTCAGCCATTGACTCAAAATCCTTACCTTCTAAATTCACAAAGCCTATTGTATCATAATTTTTGCCTGGCCAGCTGTAAACCAGAGTTCAAAATCATGTGCTTATTCTATATGACTATCAAATTCTGAAAGGGTTTTATATTTCTGGACTAGCACAGCACTTCTGATAGCTATATGAAGTACTGTAAATCTAACAGACTCTGAAGAATTCCATGATCAATGAGTCCTTCTGTAGTTATTACATAGCTTGTCAAATAATAAAATTTCAACAGACCAACTTGTAATCATTTAATTGGCTTTCATTGGTAATTGGTGACAGCATATGCTCCAAATAGGAGCTTTGCTGGACATGGCAGAACAGCTCAGGCTTAACATTGTTTAAGCAGGATTGAGAGAATAGCATGGTGTAAAAATCTACTGGTTGACTTTCGGTCATTATTCTTGCATATGTCAAAGTGGAGAGAATTCCTTGTTCTGGTGGCTTAGACTGGCTGGGCTCCTTTGATTAGATGTTGTAAATCTGCTTTTTTCTTCCCTAGAAAAACTGGCCCATTTGGGAATTTGACTATCATCTCTTTCTTGATAGAGAATGATCAGAACAGATTAGGTACAGGCAACATCAATGATTCTATTTTGGATTGATCTGTTGGTATAGGCAGTCCAAATCAACAGCCTTCCTTATGCTTTATTTAATAAGCTAAATATGTTGGAGTGTCAGTAACCACAGACAGAGATTCAATGATAGCCCCACACAGACATAAATACATACATACACACACACACACACACACACACACACACACACACACACACACACACACACTTACACAATAGAGGCTACTGATATGAAAAGCTTCAATTATACTAAGGCATATTAAATGCAAACTTGATGCCTCAAACTTGCTTCAAACATACTCTTAAAGAATGTTCAGATCTTTCAATGACAGATACAACTAAACAAACTAGAAAATTCAGTGGTGAATAATACTGCTTTCATGAAGCAGTGAAGGGTAAGTTCCAGCTTGAGCACACACTTTGTGAAGATCTAAATTCACTTGAGCTAAGTTTTTCTTTTTATTTAAATTAGAAACAATCTTGTTATACATGTCAATCCCAGGAGATTTTTTATAATGTGTATAACACTCCTCAGAAAGCTGGCAAGCAGCAAAGGGAAAACCCTCATCTCTCAGACACTTCCCCCCCCTTTAGAATTGCTATAAGAATTAAAGGGCAGGCTTTAAACTGATCCATTAACAGTCTATCAGCTACAGACTGCAAGAACACTTTGACATGGTATGAGTTAACACAAGAACTATTGATATATAGTAGTACCAATTGCTAGTTAGTGAATGACTGTCAGCTGTGAAGACCAACTTAATTCTGGAGGGATTATTTTTGACATCCATCAGTGGAACATGCTGTCTCATTCTATAGATTTAGACATTTAGAATCATCAAGCTGGCACAAGCAACCAACTCATAGGCAACTTGCCTCCTGACCCTCTATTGAAAAGCAAATTATACATGCCTACATTTAGGATTAAGAGAAGCAAGCATCCAAATTCCACTATTTAAACCAAGGATAGTTCAAAATTTACAATACTAATTAAGAGTCCAGCTGAGTTAAGGGTAAATATGCCTCTCCAACATGGAGAATGTCATAAACACAGCAGTTCTCACTGGCGCAAGTGCCAAGATATGATGAAATAATAACCTTTCAGGTCAAGAAATTGGGCTACATTAGGAAAAGTGCAAGAAACAGAAAAAAACCAATGGTTTCATCAGAGATACTACATATACTTAGCTTAGCTTCTGGAGGCTCAGTTCTCTACTGTCAATCACCTAGACTAGTGTTTCCTAGCATTATTTGAGATGGGGATCTCAATACATGGCCCAGGCTAGTAGGCCTCCAGTAGGGTCCTGCTGCTCCGGTCTTCGGATTGCTGGGTTTCAGATATGCACCACTACACCTAGCCAGTTTCCGACTTCAGTGCACATTTGCCTCTCTTATAGAGTACCCATGTCCAGGAGTACCCTAGAGTTTGACATCTTTAAAAGCTCCCAAATCGACTAACATACAACAGCTAGACAGGGGCTATCGACAGAAGTGAATAGTTCAGGAATGTATAGAGAGCTAGAGGACAAAGTCAATCTGTGATTAACAACCAGCTAGGGATAGACTGTAAAAATCCTGTTAGATCCACAACCTCTCTCTTAAAATCAACTCCGACTCATTAGCAAAGTATTTCTAGAATTAGAAGGAAATGTAGAAAGGACTTACTTGGTGATGGACCAGGGCCTAGCACATGCTAAACCAGTGCTTCTCACCCTTTAATATAGTTCTTCATGTTGTGGTGACCCCTAATCATAAAATTATTTTTCACTGCTACCTCATAACTGTAATTTTGCTACTGTTATGAATCCTAAGTAAATACCTGATAAGCATGATATCTGACATGAGATCCCCGTGAAATGGTTGTTGGACCGTAGGGGTCGTGCCCCACAGTTGAGAACAACTGTGTTAAGCAACCACCTCTATAACTCTCAATTACCAGAAGAAAGCATGGGAGCTGCCCTATTCTTCTTTGTGGCGGGGGAGGGGGGTTCAGGGTACTCCACTATGCATCATTCACACCCACCACCAGACTTTAGTAATTCTCTTTGGTAACCAACCATCTTTTCCAATAGCATATCCAGATTTCTTCTAGGGCACATGGACAGAAATACCTGTTTGCTCTCTCCTCACACTAGCACTGTCACAAACATCCCTGTAATCTCTTTGCACTGTTAACAAGAAGCTACTCTGCACCGACTGTTTTTAAGGAAGGGTCCGCCATGTAGGCATTTTCAAGTATGTACATTGACTGTATCATTATAAACAGGAACCAACAGCATTTTGTTGTTAGTATGCTTTGGGTATAGTAGCATTTGTATAAACTGAAGGTACAATATAACTTTAAAGTGGTTTTCTTCCAAGTGCATATTTAAATCCATCTGGGGAGTGAAGAAGGAATGTGGCTACAGATTACTGTAGCAATAGGGTAGTGACATCTTATTTAACTTTTATATGTTGCTTTGGCCACATTAACCTTGAGATACGTGTAGATTCACAAGGGGAGCTGGTACACAGGTTACCCAGGGAGTTCAGGGAACATGTGCCTATCATCACAGTCTCTGGAGGGCAGAGAGGAGAATGGTCAAAATAAGCTCATGACTGAGCCTGCATTAAAATAAGGTCATGGACAGAAAACAAATAATCCAATTTTATCTTCCATGATTGTAGGAGTGCTGACAGAAGACCTAAAATAAGTCATGAGCCAGAAACATACGGTAGAGAAATGAATGGCCAGCTGCAGACACAAAGCCTCAGGCAGTACCCAGGGTAGAGAGCAACAGGAAACCCTGCTATCACAGCTCCTCAGTCCCCAGAATGGCTTTTTTTCCCCTGCAAGTGACCTTCTGCAAAGCCCTATTATGTATAGTTGAGATTGTTTCTTCGAATATTCCTTCTGCCCCTCTCCTCTTTTCCCTCTGGTGACCCATTAAGTATATCTAAGTTGTAACTGTCCCAAGGCTCCTAGGTAGTCTATCCCTGACTTCTTTGTAGTCTTTTCCCCCCTTTCTGCTTTTCAGCTTTGAAAGCTCCTATCAACTTGTCCTCAACTACATTCTATCCACTATGGAAGCATTTCAGGCATCTGTCATCGTTGTCACAGTGTTTCTCTAGAAGTTCTTGACTTCTTTCATAGAATTCCTACCTTGGAATCTTCTGGTACCACTGTCCCTGCATGCCGTCCCCACTCTAACAGCCAGAAGCTGCAGACAGACTCTTAATCAGTTGTTTTAAATTCCCAGTCTGCTAACTCCAACTTGACATATCAGGCTCTGGCTCTCACACTTGTCAATGATCTTCGAATTACGTTTTTTGCCATTTGACATGCCTCAGGATATTTTTTGAGTTGATAAATGTGATGTTCTAGACAAGAGAATCACAGTAAACAGGACTTTACTGTGTAAAGTAGGTGGTCTGTGGTAAGGGCAGGTCTGTGAAAGAGTAGGGGATAAGAGTGCTCTCTAGTCTTGTGTCTCAGTCACTGAAGCTGTGTCCCTGGGCTGCTGGGCTTGACTCTACAGTGTTCTTTCCCACATTTGGTCAGGCTCTCTGAGAACAGACCTTGAAGAAAAGAGTAAAATCCTCTGACATATTTTCAAATGGTTTCCATTTCTCTCCCTGCAACAAACACAATGGGTTTTCTCTTATATTCCAAATGGAGGTGTGGTAGAACTTCACAAAGTGAAACTCACAGAAGAGTCGGGTTGCCCTTGAGGGGGTCCCCTGGGATTTTTAACTCTCTGGACTTCTCCATACTGAGCCCCCAGCAAACTGTTAGCCAGAGTTCACATTCTCTAGCACACCCTGGTTCCAATGGAGGTTCTGTTCCAGTGAGTTGTGATTTGTCTCTGCTCTTTCTTTCTAGTTGAGGGAGCAGTTGCTTGTCTTCCCCAATGGTGCTTAAAAGGACTGTTGGTTTCTCAATTTGTTTAGTGATCTGCCTGCTGGAGGAGAAAGATGTTGCAGTTCCTATTTGGTGGACTGGAAACTATGACTGTGTTGCTTCTCCATCTGTCCTTGTTAGGAACCACCCTGATCCAATAAGACCCCTGTCCAACACACACAGACACACAGACACACAGACACACACAGACACACAGACACACACACACACACACACACACACAGACACAGACACACACACACACACACACACACACACACACACACACAGGGCCTTCATCTCTTCTGCTTTTTGAAAGCCATTACCTTCCCAGCTAGAGTATTTTCCTTTCCCCCTCAGCAAGCCTTGTACGAATCACTAAATGAACAGACAGACCTGAGATGCAATTAACATGATGGAGTTTCTAGACAGTTCCAATGATTACATTATTGCCAAGTATTTTCTGCCACACTATTAACAACCCCCAGCACTTTATTGACAATTACCATACCTGCTATCTCTCTCTGGGATTTCCTTAATAGCAATTCTGACCTGGTTGCTCAGGTCTCGACCTGCATAGACTATCCCATAAGTGCCTTTTCCTAACACGACTCTGTCACCGTTTTCATCATATTCGTAGTCATACTGCAAAAAGTGATGGGGGGACAGAAGATTGAAACATTAGTTGAAAGTGACATTGAAAACACCATTTTATAAATTTGTTTGTTTCAGGTAGGGTCTTGTTACATAGCCCCAGTAGACCTTGAACTTACCACCCTTATGCCTCTATTTCCCAAGTGCTGGGATGTCAGGTACTTCCATAAAATACCAGGTCTTTTCACAAACACTTCCTTATTTTAACAATGGCTTTAGAAGTGAAATAATAAAATGGACTTCTTAGGGTAACAGGGGTAAGTAATTTAATATTGATGTCATTAATGCAGAAGGAAGAACTGTTAGTGGAGAGGAGGGGGGCATTAAGTAGGAAGAGGAAAGATGGGGTTATCCATAAACAAAGTATAATGCTCTAATGATGAAAATGTCACAGCGAAAGCCATTATTTATATGCTAATTAAAATTAATGAATAAAAACAAGAAAAACTCCAATTTTTTAAAATTAACAACTCCTTTAAGAATACAAGAAAAAGAAAACACAAAACACTGTTAACACAAAGCAGGTAGCAAGCTCTTGTTTGTAGTGCATGTGACAAATACCATGTAGCTTCATAATTGAGAGTGTGACAGAGCTTCTCTAGGAGCCCACGCATAATCTTTCCCCCACTGGGCCTGGCTCTATATCTATTATTTCCACCACCTCTAGCTAATCTTGCCAGATACTTAGCCTAGCGTGCTGCTGAAGCACTTCATATGCTGCCAGGACAATAAAACCACCGAAAGGGCTTGAGTAGAAGAAAAGCTGGAGGTCTTAGTAGTTGGTGATGGAAAAGCAAGGATTACCTATTTCACTGTCAGTCTTCCAAGATGAGGTATTTTTGTTTGTTTGGTGGATCAAAATGTGACAAAAGAGAGAAGCATTCCTGAGAAATGAAGTGGGCTACAGACAGGGACAGAAGCAAGACTCAAAACCCCCAAAGGACTTTAAAAATGAAAAATAGAGGACATTTTTTTCTGATCTTTCATGTAAGAAGAAAACTTGGACAGTCCCGAGTCCCTATGGGTCATGCATATTGGTCAAATATGGAAACGGGATCAAAGTTAATGGGGACAGAGAACATTTAACAGAGGCCACCTCAGACCTGGAGGCAGTACTTCAACAGGTGCAGCATGCAGACAGGCAAGACTCAAGTCCTGGACAGGAACTGCAGTATTTTAAGAACTTTCAATGATCAAGCTGTGTAACAGGAGGAGCCCAGCAAAGGGTTCAGACAGGAAGGAGAGAACCCAAGAACAAGGCGCCCTCGCTGTCTACAGCTTTCTGGAGCACAGATCTGGCAATGGATCTGCCTTATGGAATGATCTCTGCTGTATACTTTTAAAAAAGAAAAATTTTTGTGTTGAAAAGCCAGAATAATTTTTAATTAAATTTGTTTATTTATTTTATATCCCAACCAGTTTCCCCTCCCTCCTTTCCTTCCATTTCCTCCCCTACTTCCCTCTGCACCCCTCCCAAATCCACTCCCCCTCCGTTTCTGTTCAGAAAGAGGAAGGCCTCCCATGGGTATCAACAAAGCATGGGATATCAAGTTCCAGTAAGACTGAGCACCTCCCTTGTATCAAGGCTGGGCAAGGCAATCCAGTATGAGGCATAGGTTCCCAAAAGCCAGCTAAGGCATTAAGGGAGAGCCCCTGCTCCCACTGTTCATAAAAGCCAGAAATTTAACATTAAATGTCAATGTGTCATATATGAAGATGATCATGATCATGGATTTTTATGTTCATTAAGAATGACCTTGAATTTACACACAACACAGCTGATAAACTAATAAAGAAAATAGACAAACACAAGCAATGATGTTTTAACAGAACTTTAAAAAATGCATATAGCTAACAGATAATTTTTGTTTGAGACAGGGTTTTGCTATGTAGTTCATGTTAGCCTTGGGCTCATAAACCTCCACTTTCTGACTATTGGAATAGATTATAGGCATGTACCACCACACTAACTCTACTAATTCGACTAATTCTAGCAAACAAATTTGAAGTGGAAACTCTAATGGCCCAGAAGCTGAGAAATATTAATAAAGATATAAATTGAGAATTTTAAAAATAAGAAAGGATAAAACAGACTAGAGAGATTTGTTACAACCAAATACAACTTCTAGAAACTGGCCCTTAAATAGGAGACAAAAATAAAGTCACATTCAGATATGACACAGGAAAATGATAATATACTAAATAAAACACCAAAGTCAGAAAAGATTATAAAAAAGAAGCATGGGGCCAGAAAAATGATTCCGTGAACAGGGGGGTACTTACAGTGGAAGCCCAAATGACCCAAGTTCAGGCCCACATGGTGGAAGTGAGAGAGCTGACTTTTTAAGTCATTCTCTGATCTCCATTCTCGTGCTGCTGCGGACATTCCTGGGCATACACACTGTGCTGGCTAGTTTTATGTCAACCTGACACAAGCGGATGCCATCCCAGAGGAGGGAGCCTCAATTGAGAAAATGCCTCCATAAGACCCGGCTATACACAAGTCTGTAGGGCATTTCCTTAATTAGTGATTGACGGGAGTGGGCCCAGCCCATGGTGGGTGATGTCATCCCTGGGCTGGTGGTCCTGGGTTCTATAAGAGAGCAGGCTGAGCAAGCCAGTGGGAACAAAACAGTAAGCAGCACTCCTACATGATCTCTTCATCAGCTCCTGTCTCCAGATTCCAGCCCTGCTTAAGTTTCTGTCCTGACTTCCTTTAGTGATGGACTATGATGTAGAAGTGTAAGCCAACTAGGATTACCAGCCTACAATCTACACCTCCAGGGAAGCAAAGAAACAAGGAGGACCCTAAGAGAGATATACGTGGTCCCCCAGTGAAGTGGAAAAAAGAAGAGCCCTTGAACAAATTGGGGACGGGGGAGGGAGGAGAGAGGTAGGAGAAAGAGGAAGGGAGAAGCGGAGAGGGGAGGAGAACATGAGGGAGCACTAAGATTGAGTGGGGAGAGGAATAGAGAACAAGAAAAGAGACGCATCAATAGAGGGAGCCACTATAGTTTTTTTTAAAGAGAAATCTGGCACTAGGGAATTGTACAGAGATCCACAAGGATGACTCCAACTAGGACCCTAAGCAATAGTGGAGAGGCTACCTTAAATACCCTCCCCCTATAATGAGAATGACTACTACCCTAAATGCCATCCTAGAGCTTTCGTCCAGTAGCTGATGGAAGCAGAAGCAGACACCCACAGCTAACACTGAGCCAAACTCCTGGAATCCAGTTGTAGAAAGGGAGGAGGGATGAGTAAAGCAGTCAAGACCTTGCCGGAGAAACCTACAGTACCAGCTGACCTGAGCTAGTGAGAGCACACGGACCACAACTGTAAAGCTGGGGAACCAGCATTGGACTGAACCAAACCCTTTGAATGTAGGTACCAGTTAGGAGGCCTGGGCAGGCTATGGGACCTCTAACAGTGGAACCAGTATTTATCCCTAGTGCACAAATGAACTCTGGGAGCCCATTCTCTATGGAGGGATACTATTTCAGCCCAGATACAGCAAGGAGGACCTAGGCCCTCCCCCAAATGATGTGACAGACTTTGATGATCCCCCATGGAAGGGCTCACTGTTCTTGGGGCGAGGGTGAGGGGTGGGTTGGGGGGGTCAGTAGTGGGTATAGGTGGATGGGAGGGAGAGGGAAGGGGGGAGACTGATATGTAAAATGATAGTTTCTAAATAAAAAAATTTTAAAAATGCAAAAAAGTAAATAAAAATAAAGACTAAAATAAAAAAAAAGTTTAAGCCAACTAAATCCTCTTTTCCCCAACTTGCTTTTGGTCATGGTGCTTCATCACAACAATACTAACTCTAATCACAGCATATAAGTAAATATATACACTCTAAGTAAATGGTATCAAGAAGCAAGATGGTGTGCTTCTCCAATCCTAAGCTTGGGAGGCAGAGCAGAAGTTCAAGATCATCTGTAGAAACAAGGAGTTCAAAGGGCATCCCGAGCTACACGAGATCCTGTCTCAAATAAATGAACAAATAAATTAAGGCAAAGATAAACAGGACAAGTGACCAATATAGGATGGTAATCAGACTCTGGAGGCCAACAGGCCATGGTGGCATCAGCACCAGATGGTTTCCAACAGGTTTGAAAGTCCTAAGTTAAAGTCCGTTGGGTCATATCTCTTGGACAAATTACTCTGAATGAAAGCAGGGCGGAGCTCCATCATGGACTGTTCTCTCTTAGGACACAGGGCAAGTTCTAGAAAGAAGGTGTTCTCTTGACCGCAACATTGAGCATCCACTCTGAGGTACCAGAGCTACATGAGAAAGCCTTCCTTCCTATGCTAGGAATAAATGCCTACTGCAGAGATGAAGGATAGCCTTTCTAAAGATGGTCAGGATGCCTAAGAGGATGAAGAATTTGAGGGTGGAGGTGGGGCATGTGACAAGCAGCGGGCAGCATCTAGCAATCTTTGCAGACTTGGAATACGAAACAGGGATCTGGTAAAGATGCAGTAAGACGAGCTCAACAACACCACCCAAAGAGTTCAAGTCACACACCCGATTCCTGCGGTCTAGAATCTGGCAATGCTGTGCTGTGCTTGCTGGAATCCCACCAACAAAGACGCTCAACTGCACCACTGTCCCTCTCAAAGGAAAAAAAAAAGTCTATACACTAGATTGAGAACCATCAACACTTTATTATTTTAGGGCTTCAAAACTTAAAAGAAAAAGAAATTCAAATCACCTCCTTCAGTTGATCTCCAGAAGGTTGTGTTTCATAGTAAGAAAGGCATATGACGACCTTTAATTTACACATGACAAGAAATCTCTTTTTAATGAAAATGTCAGAGTTGTAGTTTAAAGCCAGATCTTCGAAATCAAGACTTTGTTCTTCCCATTGCCTGTGTGTGGTGGTTTGAAAGAGAATGGCTCCCATAGGCTCATAAATTTGTATGCTTAGTCTTTGTTGATGAACTGTTTTGGAAGGGTTAGGAAGTATGGCTTTGCTGGAGAAGGCATG